CGGCCCACAAAGCTTAAATTCTTTAGTCACTTCAAATACAGCAGTGACACCTTGAAAAAAAAGCAATAGAGCAGTACTGCTAACAACTGTTGGTTCATGAACAGCCAAGGAAAACCACTTAAATCATCTGCCTTTTTTTTAATTGACTATTAATGTTGTTCTGACTGTCCTCAACTCTTAAGGCAAGTGTTCTCACCAAAAGGATAAGAATCTTAAGTAAGTTTATTTTTTTCCAGACATAATCTTCAGCTGCTGCAATCAAACACAATCTAATTAACTCAACATTAAACAGCTTTCCTTATTTGGCCAACAAACCATTTGAAAACGGTTTGATAGTCACATTTTATTTATTTTGTGAAGTAATTCTGTGATGAGATGTTCTATTTAAATTTTTCTAATTTTTCTGGCAATTGCCTGCCTATGAGATGGGAGAATTTTAATGAGGGCTTAGTATGATAATGCCTACATATATAGTACATTTTTGGCACATCTATAGTGTCACTATTTTCATTTCTAAAAGTGTTGACAATTCAACAACAAAATCTACACTCTGCTGTACTTTAAAAGTCCACTTTATCTTCTTTTCTTGTTTAGACATGATATTCACTGGTAACTTTTTCAAACTTTGCAACACCGTCAAGTTATAATTACACTACTGGAATTTATAACAACATGAGCAGCAGTGTGAAGCAATACAAGTGCCACAATGAAAGTGTCTATGTTGCAACTACTAAATTCTGCTGTTGTAGTACAAAAGCAGCCATAGACAACAAGTAAGCAACTGAAGATAGCTGTGTTCCAAAACTTTATTTAAAGACAAAAAACTCTAAATTTTTATCATTTTCATGTGTAAAAAATATTCATTTGAATTTTTTCAATCATTTAACAATAAAAAACCATTCTCAGTCTGTAAGTTGTATAAAAAGAGGCAATGGGCTGGATTTGACCCATGAGCCAGTTTGTTGAGCCTTGCTCTAGGATATAGTCTGTACTCCTAAGGCTCAATATTCACCAAATGCTCAAGGTGCTCAGCAAATTTTCTCAACAATGGATGCCCAAGAATGCCCACATCTCTCAGCACTGCATATCTGATATCACCATTTAGCTCTCAGCTGGAAAGGAGGTGATGTCTGCTAAACCTCATGGAGCCTTGGGCTGCATATACTCACCCCAACCCTTTGCCAAAGATTCATGTTTATCCATGGTCCCTAGCATGTTTGCCTGTATCCTTAAAACACACACACACACACACACACACACAGAGCAGAGCTTCAATGGTTCTTTTCTGAGCATCCTGAGGCATGCTGGTGCTAATCAGATACAGGTAACGTTTCATATACATATTTACAACTTTTTCTTTTACAAAAAACATTGCATATTTTAAAACAAGCCCCACTGATAAAGCACTCGAGGAATCCACTTAATGTATAGAACTGCTCTTAAACATTACACTACATGCTATCCCAACAGACATATACACATGGTATAAAAACGCACCGATACAAGCCACATGCATGCACACCCAGAATGCAATTTTATACAGAAGTGAACTCATTTCTTAAAGACACAGATTAGTAAATACTTAAGTAGTCACCTTCTCACATACCATTCTCAAAGATGCACTTTTCTTAGCTCCACAGAGCAGGGTGCTAGACCAAGATCCACACAAGTTGAGTGAAGAGCCTCTACCCTGAAGCTATCATCCTGCAGTAAGGAAGGCCACCAGCAAGAAAGGAACTGGTAGATTCCCCTGGGTCTGTCTCTAGACTTCAATCCAACCTCACCCCTCAAAGGCACTGATAGCAATCACTGGAATCAGAGTATGTACACGAGAACAGAACTCTAAGTGGTGCTCAGGACCCAACCCAGACCCCTAAGCTGACCCCCACCCTTCTGACCACTAAGACTGGCAGTATCATATACTAGAGTGGCTATGAAATGGGACTTGAGGGTTGACCATGATAGTCATGAGCTTCCTAGGGGTCACTTCTGAGCAGTAGTTGAAAAATTACAGGTAATTAAACTATTAAACACTAAATATTTGATGGAAGCCATATTCTCTTCCTAGCAACATGTAACAGAAACATATTCATGAACTTCCGGGGGGAAGGGAGCCTGAGCAGTGGTTCTCGACAATTCTGAGTCAGTAAACCAGTGACCATTTTGAAAAGCTAAAACAAGTCATGAATTCTCATGTCAGAAATATGCAAAGACCCACATAAATTTGAATCTATCTCATTCCGCTAATGAACTCCCTGCAACTCATTTGTGGGACTCAGCTTAGGACGGGCTGGAGGTGGCTCAGAATGTTTATTTCCTAGTTACCTCACACTGAAGATTATGTACTCAAGATGGGAGGACAAGGCCCTAGGATACAGAGGAGCCTAAGCCTGCGACGCAGGCAGCCACCCAGCCTGACGACAATCCCTAGAGTCCTTCCTTCTAGGTGGGTTATACAGCTGGGTTGCCTGTCATTTTGGCTATCGGGTCACAGATGGTTGATGGCAGACTTACACAGTCACCCAGTTAACAAAGCAGGCAGTGAAATCATAGTAGTATAATAATAATAAAGTTTAGTAATGTGCAGTTAGAAAACCAGCTGAGATCCAGTGTCATTCTGTCAAACAACCAAACAGGTAAGGAAAAGGTGACCTGTGGTGAGCACTGAAGAGAATGCTCCTCAAGTGGATCACTGCATGCAACAGTGAAAAACCCTGTCAATAGGATTCTTTTGTGCCTGTAGTAGCATGAAGAGCATGAAGAAACAGGTACACAGAAAATCTAACTTGTCCAGGATCCCAGATGATCCTACCGTTTGTTGGAACAATAGTTCAGAGACAGGTAAGAAAGATCCACAAGGCAAGAAGGAACAAGCATGAATGTTTAGGGCTCAGACAACATTCTCTAGAGGATGAAGTGGTGTTGGGGAGTGTCCTCTGGACGTGTGCCAGCGAAGACGGAAAGCAGGAAAGGCCTGACTCCCATATCACTAGGACTGTGTCTCTGAGTTTCCCAGGAACCAGCTAAGTCAGTTGGTTGAGTTGGTTATACCTTGTGGGTACCTGACTGAGATGAAATTAAATGCTTTATCAGCATTTTAAAATATTTCTTCAAGAGGGCTTAAAATTATAAATATTTTAAGAAAAACAAAATTTTTGGAAAAAAAATGAATAAAGAACTTGCTCTATAATGTAAACTATTACAAAGGCAAATTAAACATTATCATGATCACAACAGGTAAAAGAACAGATTGGTAAAAGCAAAAGTTATCAGAAACACATAATAAAAGGACAGAAGCCAATCTGAATAAACTTCCACTGACTTACCTCAGATGACAAGTGTCAAAAAAAATAAACCCTAGTTAAGGATTATAACCTACTAAATGAAGAATATGAGTCTATACATAAATTAAAAATTCTGGAGAAAGGAAAACCCTTCCATACCATAAGCACAAGAGGAATAAAAGAACAAAAAATGCTTTTGCAACTATGGTAATAATTGATTTGGGCAATGATCAGAAATAAATGCTAAAATTAGTGGGTGAAAGCTTCAGGATTAAGAGGACATATGTATAGCCTGAATGTATCTCCTCACAAGATATTAATATAAAGGGTAAAATCACTTTTTTGTGAAGAAACATGAAAGATACTATATTAGCCAAATAATCCAATTCAATATTGTTATCAATGGTACTAATTAACAGCATGTGCTTCCTGGTATGATGTACTGTGAAATCCTCAACACTTGTATTGCTACAAAGGTTCATAACCTAACTGTAACTATAAGGAAACATCAGACAAATCCTGTTATTTATGTGATTAATAAGAAGAGTTGCGGTCAATAGCTAAAGATCATTCAGGATGTTGTCAGGGGATCCTCCCATGTGACTTTTCTGATACATACCAACTTGGCACTTTCATAGCTTGTGTTAACTGAGGGATCTCTAGTATATGTCAGTTAACAGGCAGACTCAAACCTATAACAGTTCAGCAGAGAACATTTTTTTCTTCCTCACAAAAGTCAGACTATCAGAGGAGGAAATTGTTCCACACAGTAATTCCTGAACCCTGACTCCTTCCATGTGGTACCCTTTCATCTTCAGTGTAGCAACAAGAGACAGCAGAGAATATATAGGATGAAGAGGGCTTTCACGGTACTTGTTTTTACCACATTCCACTACCTAGAAGTTGGTGATATTACCTCATTTGGATGCAAGTGTGGTTGGGAAATTTACACTAGTTGTGGGCCTTGGGACAAAAGGAAATGAAGAATATATAGTATGTGGGATAGTGGTCTGTTTTAAATTATATTACTTATATATATTATATTGCGGGTTGACTTCTGGAACAATTTCCCAAATCCATTACCTTAAGATTTCTTTCATCTGGTTAATACACTATGAGGTCTCTATTGCTCTGTGCATTTTCTGCTGTACCGAGAAAGGTGGCTTTTGGCTGAAGTTATCACATTGCATTCTAGATTTTCTTCACTGTGTGTGAATTCTCTACTCAATGAGATTCAGTCTTTGACAGAAAGCTTTCACGTTTTCATTCCTTTCTCAATCAATGTTTCTCCAGTGGAAGTTTACTTAGAGTTGAGTTCATACAGAGTATTTCTTATATTCATTACCTTCACAGTGTTTCTTTCCCCAGAAAATTCTATTAGTGGATGAAAGACTGTCTATATATATTTCAAAGGTTTCCTTCCAGTGTAAATTCTTGGTATAGACTGAATGTTTATGTCATCCCCAAAGGCATATGTCAAAACCTAATCCCCAATGTGCTGGTACTTGGAGGTGGAGGCCTGTGGGAGGTGATTATGTCATGAGGACAGGGCTCTTGTGAATGGATTACTGCCTTTATACAAGAGGCCCCAAAGAGCTCCCTTGCCCCTTCCTCCATGTGAGAACACAGCAAGATGGCCATCCAAGGACCAGGAAGTTGATCCTTACCAGACACCGAATCTGCCAGTGCCCTGATCTTGGACTTTCCAGTTTCCAGAACTGTGAGAAATAAACACTTGTTATTTAAGCCAGTCTACGGTACTTTTGCTATAACAGCCTGAACAGACTAAGCCAGTTCTCTTATGTTTAGTGAGGAACTTCCACATTAATTTCTCTGAGTTTTGCAATCTTTTCTTAGCCCTGACTTGTGGCTGAGAGTTTCCCTGCACTCATCATCTTTATAGTTTGTCTGAGTTCCCTGATGTTCTCAAAGATGTGATTTCTGGCTGAAAACATTCCAAGATCCATGACATTTACAGGGCTGTTTATGTGTATAAGTTGTCTTTAATTTAATTGTCTTTAAGTTGATTTAATGTAAGATTTGATGTATGGATGAAAGTTTTTCCATATTCATTACATTCGTACGTTTAATTCCCTGTGAGTTTTCTGATGGTCTGAGATTTCACTTCTGGTGAAAATCTTCCCGACATCCATCACATTTATAAGGTTTCTCCTCTGTGTGAAGAAGGGAATCAATATGGCACCCCAAAACAAGCCACTTTGGCTTAAGGATTATTTTGAGCTGAAAGCAATTGAAAAACAGTAGACACAGAAAAATCCATCCTCCCCCTATCTACCTAAAGGCAGGGCATAAATCTCCCTTTGTGAAGTTTTCCTCATTCCCTCTCCCATTATGAGGTAAGAGGATACAACTCTTATCATTGAAGATGGCACCAACTAACATCTGCATAAACAAATCTTACTGAAATAATCCTTATCATCCATTGGATTCCCCATATATTTACCTTTTCACAATTTACCACCTCTAGAAGCTCAAAATCCTATTCCTTTGGCTAGTCACTTCTCTGCAAATGTATTTCCCTTTTGTTAAAATGGTATGTAAGCCTCAAGGTCTGACCACCTCTTTTTTTTTTTTGTGAGGAAAATCAGCCCTGAGTTAACATCCATGCTAATCCTCCTCTTTTTGCTGAGGAAGACCGGCTCTGAGCTAACATCTATTGCCAATCCTCCTCCTTCCCCCGCCCAAAGCCCCAGTAGATAGTTGTACACCATAGTTGCACGTCCTTCTAGACACGGCCTCAGCATGGCCGGAGAAGCGGTGCCTCGGTGCGCGCCCGGGATCCGAACCCGGGCCACAAGTAGCAGAGCACGAGCACTTAACCGCTAAGCCACGGGGCTGGCCCCTGACCACCTCTTTGGGGTTTTCATTTCATTTCTGAGAGGCCACTCCACACATATATGAAATAGACCTTTTTCTGTGTTAATGTCTTTCAATTTGCAGGGCACCAGTCACTGAACCTAACAGAGCAGTGAAAGAGTTATTTTTCCTCCCCTTGGCTTTTTACATCCGAAAACCCTCTGAAAATTTTCCCACATTACCACATGTATAGGATTTCTCCCCCCCTTTGTGAGTTTTCTCATGTTTCAATAGGTGAAACTCACTGCTGAAAATGTGATTCATTATACTCGCCTGTGTGAAGTGCCTCATAATTTTAGTTTGGAGAGTTAAATTGCAAATGAAAGCTTTTCCACATTAGTTACATTCATAGGGTTTCTCCATTGTGTGAATTTTCTGATGTTTTCTAAGGTCTGACTTCTGGCTGAAAGTTTTACCACATTCATTACATTCATAGGGTTTCTCGCCTGTGTGACTTCTCTGATGTATTCTAAGATGTGATATGTAGGTGAAAGCTCTCCCACATTCATTACATTCATAGGGTTTCTCCCCTGTATGACTTCTCCAATGTATTCTCAAGATTGACTTCCAGAGGAAAGTTTTCCCACACTCAAGACATTCATAGGGTTTCTCCCCTTTGTGAATTCTCTGATGTCCTCGGAGGTGGGACATGTAGGTGAAAGTTCTCCCACATTCATTACATTCATAGGGTTTCTCGCCTGTGTGACTTCTCTGATGTATTCCAAGGCTTGACTTCTGGCTGAAAGTTTTACCACATTCAGTACATTCATAGGGTTTCTCCCCTGTGTGAATTCTCTGATGTCCTCTGAGGTGTGACATGTAGGTGAAAGCTCTCCCACATTCATTACATTCATAGGGTTTCTCCCCCGTGTGACTTCTCTGATGTCCTCTGAGGTGTGACATGTAGGTGAAAGCTCTCCCACATTCATTACATTCATAGGGTTTCTCACCTGTGTGAATTCTCTGATGTGCTCTGAGGTGTGACATGTAAGCGAAACCTCTCCCACATTCATTACATCCATAGGGTTTCTCACCTGTGTGACTTCTCTGATGTATTCCAAGGCTTGACTTCTGCCTGAAAGTTTTACCACATTCATTGCATTCATAGGGTTTCTTCTTCGTGTGTGTTTTCTGATGAACTGCTAGGGATGATTTCCAGGAAAAAGCTGTCCCACATTCATTACATTCATAGGTTTTCTCACCTGTGTGAGTTCTTTGATGTACCATGAGGGATGACCGCCTAGAGAAGGATTTTTGACATTCATTACACTCATAGTGCTTTTCTCTTCCATGAGTTCTCTCATCTGTATTGAAGGCTGACTGAGAATCGAAAGTTTCCCTACATGTGTTATCACAAGATGTCTCTATTGTGTGAGTTCTCTGTTGTACTATAATGGCTGAAATGTGGCTAACACTTTTTCCATATTCGAGAGGTTTCACACCTGTATGAATTCTCTGATACTTTCTGAAATGTGCTTTTTGACCAAAATTTTTCTCTCCTGTATCAGTTCTCTGAAGTTGAGTAACCCTACCGAAATTGTTCCCAGTTTTATTACATTCATCTTCATTAAAGTCAGAGTGATTCTTCTCTGTGTGAATACTTGGAGAGACAATAAGGGCTGAGTTATCATGTAGGTTTTTTCCAAATTTATAAGATCTCTCTTTTGTGTGGGCACTCTTATGTGTAATCAAAGCAGCCTTATCATGGAAAGCACTACCATGTTCACTATATTCAAATGACTGCCCCAAAGTCTGAAAAGTCTGATGCTGAATAAGTTCCTCAACATAACTAAAACCTTGCAAATTTTGATTATAATCAAAAGATTTCTCTCCAGTATTGGTTCTCTCATTTCTAGTACTGAAATGAGATGCATTAAACTCATCAGCCTTTTTTTTTGAGTAATTATGTGGGGCCAAAGGGTAGAGATCCAAGTACGTTGGCTCCACAGAGTCACATTTACAAGGTATTTTTCTTGAAGGAAAAATGTCTGTGCCCAGATTAAACGGTTTTCCTGAAACTTTCTCTTGCTCTGTAGTCAACGTTTGGTGGTTGCTGAATAAAACTTGACAGAAATATTGGTCTTGGTTTTCCTGGTTCCTCTCTAAAAGATCAAGTCGGCAGTCTTCTAAAAATGAGAAAGCCAAAAATTCCTTATGAAACTTAACATATTTTTTATGAAAAAGGGCTTATATACATATGCTTTACTATATATTTGACATTTTTGTTTCTTGCTAAGTCTCCCAACAATATACTAGTTCCAAGTATATATTATCTATATTCACTTTTGGGGTGGGGGACTTGCTGTAGTGCAAAAAGGGAAAAGAACCTGAAAATGAATATCATGTCTGTTCAGCATTTGAAAATATAATCTTTAAACTTGGGAAGAGAAGTGGGTATAAAGGAAAGAAAAGATGAACGGGAAACAGAAAGGGTTTTAAGGGAGTTGGGTCCTGGGAACAGGAAAATAAGAGAATGGGATGAATTCAACAATGACCAAAAAAAAAAAAATCAAGGACAAGAATTTTAGGGGTTCCAGCAGAGAAAGGGTTTGGATTAAGGTGATTATCAGGATTTAGGTTCTTAAACTATCAAATAAATATAGATTAAAATGGCAAGATACTCACCAGTCTACATACTTCCATTTGGAGGTTCGCCTTTTTCATTCTACACGTCAACCAAATTAAGCTTATAATGGCACAAATTTCCTCATGTTTAAAGACACAGTCCTAAAGCCCAAGATCTAATTCTCCTGCCTGTAATTCTTAGGAACACAAATGCCCAGGAGGAAGCATAAAAGTGACCAGAGGAAAAACCACCTTTCCACCTGGATTGGATTCACTGCTCTATCCTGCCTCTGGTACTTGGATTTATATTAGCGTTATTCAAAGTAAACCTTTTTTGACCTTCAAATCCTAAGTATCACCTTTTTAAAATGCTCACTCATTCTTGAAACCAGTTTTAACCCTGTCCCATATTTGACTCGGCTTTCTACGCACTGTTCAACATATCTAGTTTCTACCAATTGTGAGAACCTTAAGAATCATGTTTCACCCTGCTCCCATAAATTTTGGAAATATCCTTTATATTTATCTATCATTAAAAAAAAACAGTGTGTACATATGACTATTACCACACTGCTGCCCATACTCCATGCAATGATGTCAATCAAGCCTTTGCTAAAAACCTAAGATGGTCCAGAGCCCACTGCTCCAGGAAAAAAAAGATGAAAAAGTTAAGAGAGATCTTTCTGGAAAACAAAGTTTTACACTACCTGTATATACTTCAGGTGTTCAAACTACCATTCCACAAATCTACCGGTCCACAGTATTTTCTGTATTAGTCTGGTCAGGCTTTAGTCCTGCTTAACTGGTTCATTTCAAAAAATAATGTTGTATGTGCATTCTTTCCTAATATAACCTGTATTTCAGCCTTTGCACTACTCCTAATCTAGATATTCTTCAGGGTGAAACTATTTAATAATCTAGGTTATAGATTATTACATAGTTTTCTAGATGTCCTTCAGGGCAAAACATTCAAATTAAAAAATTACCTAGGCATAAACCTAAAAAAACACCTACAGGATCTGTATGCTGAAAATCAAAAAACCCTGATGAAAGAAATCAAAGAAGATCTAAATAAATGGAGAAACATGCCGTGTCAAGGACTAGAAGACTCAATCTAGTAAAGATGTCAATTTCCCCCAAATTGTTCTATAGATTTAATTCAAGTCCTACCAAAATCCTCACAGGATTGTTTATTTGTATATATATAGACAAGCTTGTTTTAGACTTTATATGAAAAGGCAAAGAACCCACAATAGCTAAAACAATTTTGTTAAAGAAGAAAAACTTCTACCTTATGTTAAGCCTTATTAAGTAGCTACAGTAATCAAGACAGTGTGGTATTGACAGAGAAATAGAAACACAGATCAATGAAACACAAAAGAGATCAAAAAAATGACCAACATAAGCACAGCCGACTGATTTTTGACAAAGGTGTAAAAACAACTCAATGAAAGGACAATCTTTTCAACAAATGGTGCCAAACAACTGGACATCAACAGGCAAAAAAAGTGAATGCTGACCTAAACCTCACATTGTGTACAAATATTAATGCAAAATATATCATGGATTTAAATGTAAAGCATAAAACTATAAAATTTCAAAAGAAAAAACAGAAAATTTTTGAGACCTAGGGCTAGGCAGGGAGTTCTTAGACCAAGAAGCGAACAATCCATTTAAAAAAATGTACTAAATTGGACTTCATCAAAATTGAAAATGTCTGTGCTATGAAAGACCTTAAGAGGATGAAAAGACAGCTATGGATTGACAGCAAATATTTGCAAACCACATATTCAACAAAGGTCTTAGTTGTAAAGTAATATCAAAAAAATTATAAAATTGGCAAAAGAAAGAACAGATACTTCCCTAAAGAGGATATACATATAGCAAATCAGCACATGAAAAGTCATCCAACATTATTAGCTATTAGGAAAGTGCAAATTAAAACCACAGTAAGATATCACTACACACCTATTAGAAGAGCCAAAAGAAAAAAGAGATAATAACAAATGCTAGTGATGAGGCAGAAAAAATGGATCTCTCATACATTGCTGATAGAAATGTAAAATGGTACAGCCTCTCTGGAAAATTAGTGGCAGTTTACATAACTAAACAAGTACTTACTCCATGAACCTGGAATTGCAACTTTTGGGTACTTATCCCAGAGAAATGAAATTTTCACACAAAAACCTATACACAAATATTCATGGAAGCTTTATTTGTAATAGGAAAATACTGAAAACAACCCAAGTATCCTTCAGTGATTGACTCACTGAACAAACTCTGGAACATCATACAATGGAGTACTACTCAGCATTAAAACAGAATAACTTATTGATACATGGAACAATTTGGATAAACTTCAAAGGGAATATGCTTGGTGTAAAAAAAAAAAAAAAAAGTGAATCTCAAAAGGTTATATATGATTCCATTTTTATAACTTCCTTGAAATGACAAAACTGTAGAAATGGAGAACAGATTAGTGGTTGCCAGGGGGCACAGATGACCACTAGGGGGTGGGGGAGTATGAATACAAAAAGGTAGCACAAAAGAGTTCTTCTGTGGTAATGTAAAGAGTTCTGTATGTTAGCTGTGGTGGTGGTTACACAAACCTATTCATGGGATAAAACTGCACAGTTATACATGCACGCACACACAGATAAAATGCAAGTTAAAAGAACAGTAATAACCAAGTAAGATCAGTAGTCTAATTAACAGTAATGTACCACCATCAATTTCCTGGTTTTGATGCTGTACTACAGCTACTAAGATGTCACCACTGGAGGAAAGTGGTGGAAGGGTACACAGAATCTTTGTACTATTTTTGCTACTTCCTGTGAGTCTATATTCTTTCAAATAAAAAGCAAAAGAATGCTAGAAATAATGAGATTTGTTTAATGTTTAACTATTATAAGAGTTCCATGGGAAGACGGACAATTCAGAGATGCTCACCTTGCCTTACATTAAATTTGTACATATAAAATATTATTAATATGAATATTTCGGAAATTGTATGCAAAATGAATTTGTACAGATTTGTCAATGCCCTCACTGTCCAAAACGTTCACAAAAAAATATTTACCAAAACTGTCATTAATCACTTCTACAAAGTTTTCCTATATTTATCAGAGTACTGGCAATACTTTGCATAATCTTGGGCAACAAAAGTATAGTACTGTCAGTTATCATTTCAGTTATTATTTTAAATGTTAACCTGGCCAAAACCTTGCTTCTTTATTTAAACCTCTAGTGTCTTTTAGGTCAGTACTTTTCAACTCGGGATGTATTTCAGACTTAACTGATGATGTTTTGTAAGAAGATCCTTCTCTAAGACTTATTCCAGACTTACTGAATCTCTTTACTTGATATTCTTGTATATTAATGGTATATTACTGGTGTATTATGTCTCAGGATTATTGTTACAAGTCAAAAATTTTCCTCTATAAAGTTTTGTTCATAGGGCCGGCCCTGTGGCTTAGCGGTTAAGTGCGTGCGCTCCGATGCAGGCGGCCCGGGTTCGGATCCTGGGCGCGCACAGACGCACTGCTTCTCCGGCCATGCTGAGGCCGCGTCCCACATACAGCAACTCGAAGAATGTGCCACTATGACATACAACTATCGCCTGGGGCTTTAGGGGAAAAATAAATAAATAAAAAATTAAAAAAAAAAATAAATAAAGTTTTGTTCATAAATTTTCATGATCAAATGTAACATTCACTGACTTCTTTGAAAACAAGTTTGTTTGTTGTCCTTAAAGATATTTTGCCTAAAATGTTTTTTAAAGGTGACTTTGTTAACTTTTTCCTATCACAGAAATAACCAAATTTCCTTATCAGTGCGTTATTCTTATTATGCACAGCAGAATTTTCCCATTTGAAAATTATTAGTAATAAATTAACCATAGCCATTATAAGTCTGACATCTACAGGCGGCTTTTGTTTAACTCTGACGTTTGCCTGAAAGCTCTTATAAACTAGGCTAGAGGTTGTGTCATCAACAAAGGGCAATCTCAGAACCTCAGGAAAAGAGGCTGTATTAAGCACTTCAACTACTGACACTTCAATGAAAAGACTCTTAAAAACATGCTTTCAAGCTGACATCATTTAGAAAACTTTCAGGTCATTAAGGTGCACTGAGTCAGAATTCTTTAAGTCAAGAAGCAGACAATTTCATGAGACTGGTAACCCAAGACCCAGCAGAACAAGAATTAATTACATGTAACTGAGTAATTACATGTTAGTATGTAACTGACGGGGAGAAATAAACTTGACTTGGGCATTTGCATTTGGGATAGGGCTTTCAGAGTGAATCAATATGAAATACTTCTCTACCTGGCTTTGCATTTAATCCACAATGTATTTACAAAGTATTTATTTATATTAGATACCAAAGGATGGAAGAATAAAGCAGAGGCCATTCTTTTTAGTGGGTTTCCAGGAGGGGAAAAGTGCTCTTTCAGTAACCTATGTTATCTGGCATAGTGTGTGTGAAAGTCTCAATTTCTTGAGAAATAGCCATGAAGTGGGTTAGGGAATTAAAAAAAGGAGAAATTAAAGTTAGCTAA